GAGAGAGACAGAGAGAGACAGAGAGACAGAGAGAGAGAGAGAGAGAGAGAGAGAGAGAGAGAGAGAATAATGCTCTTATAATATCCAAATTTTCGACGACTCAGGCCTTTCTCCAGTCACAAACACATTATAAGGAAATACGATGTACAGGGAGATTAAAAAAGAATGCGGTAAAATCACCACTCGATATTTTAAAATGGGAAACCAATAGATTCTCATACATGTGTATCGGCTTGATGGTGCCCATGCTGCCGGTAGTCACCACTTTGGGAACTTGTAAGACATGAAATAAAAGCTTACTTAAAGGCATGTACAGCACATGTATCCAAGCTACTCTACGAGTTTTCTATCGTTTTCCCATTTTGAAATATCGCGTGGTGATTTTAGCCGCATTCTTTTTTAATCTCCCAGTACATCATATTTCCTTATAATGTGCATCACGACGCGGTGGAATCAGGCGCTCGTCAATTTTGGTGTATATGAAGTTATTGATATTGTTGTAAAGCCTGTCCATTTGCTTAACATGTTATTAACAAAATATCAATTTATCTCGGATACAAGTCAAGATATTGGCGATTGAAGGAGGTTGGGGTCGCCTGATTTCAGATGTAAAATTAGCGAGAAAATCGAAGGTAAAGTTGTGTTATTTCCATATTTTGAAAGTTTATGGAAAGTAAAAATTTACATCTCTTATGCCTTTAATCAACGTTTTTCAGTAAAAATCCGCTCCAAAATGTGTTCTTTGACAGGTGTTGAGCCAAAAAACACAAATTTTATAAAAATTCCCTAACTTGCGGAAAAATGCAAGTTTCTTCACTTGTATTATTTTGACGAGTGCCGAAACCTACTCTTATAGATTAGGACCAGCAAATGGCCTTAAACTTGCACAACTTGCACACTGGACATCCGAGATTTGTCGCACCTATCCGAGAAGGCTAGGTGTTAAATCTTACCTACTCTAAGGATGGGGGTGAACGACAGCAATAATAAGGAGCCAGGAATGGAAGTGGACTGAGTATAGAGAAAGGGAGAGAGAAGCACAGAAAAGGCTGGAGTAGAGGAGTTAGAAACTGGTAATGGAAGTAAATAGCAGAACAGGACTAGAGAAAAGGAAATTAAGACATATGATAACTTTCTAGAGAAGAAAAGGTTTTCACTTTCCCAGGTGGTAAAAAAAGGCGGAAATAATGGTTAGTAACCATAGCCACCTATTGACATCGGAAATTTAATATATCGACCCGCAGTAGACGATACTTTTCCAAAAAAGCAAGAACAGTGAGACATAGAAATTCATTCGTACCAACTGCAGTGAGGTTACTGACCACACAATGATATAAATGAAACAGACAGAGAGAGAGAGAGAGAGAGAGAGAGAGAGAGAGAGAGAGAGAGAGAGAGAATGTTTTACGGAGCGGGTTGTCCCAGCACGTGAGACATATTTACTCATGTCCTGTCTCGTTGTGCGTATGCGTGAGTGCACCTAACCTTTGTAGCGTCTACTACCATTGTTAACGACCAAGACAAATTTCTCCCTTCGAGATGAATAAAGATTGTCAATGTCATTGTCACTGTCAAGATGCGATCCCGGAACTTTTTGACTGAGAGGCAGGCACCGTCCCTCTGGACCCCGTGTGGTCTCCAAGAGGATCATATTAAAAAGAACTAATTTCGGACTCGTCAAGGGAACCATCTTGAGACCTCACAATTTCTACAGACTAGTTTGAAGGTGAATCCTAACCAAAAGAGTATGCCCAACCCCCTTCCCCCAAATAAAGAAAGAAAGGAAGAAAGAAAGAAAGGAAGGAAGAAAGAAAGAAAGAAAGAAAGAAAGAGAAAGGAGAACGAAAGAAAGAAAGAGGGGGAGAAAGAAAGAGAGAGAGAGAAAGAAAGAAAAGAAGAGAGAGAAAGAATGAATAAAAGAAAGAAAGAAAGAGAGAAAGAAAGAAAGAAAGAAAGACTGAAAGAAAGAAAGAAAGAAAAGAAGAAAGAAAAAAAAAAGAAAGAAAGAAACTTAACGTATGCAGAAGAACAACAGCTACAGAATAATGAAATGTACTCATATCCAGTTACTTACTTGACAGGATTGTAATAGCCAATCCTTTGATCGTTGTACAAGGCAGCGGCCTTGGCTGACACCGCCAATGTCAGACAGGCGAAGACGACTGTCAGAAGATTCTGGGGGAAGGAATGAAATTAGACTTAGTGGGGTCATTGATCATCATCATCATTATCATCATCATCATCATCATCATCATCATCATCATCATCATTGTATAAAGAAGGTATTAAAATA